CCAAATAATCATACTTAACTCATTAAATATCGAAATTAAAAGAAAAGTGCACTATTTTTAATTATAGGAAATGCGTTTTTCTAAGATACATAAACTTTTGGGATTGACTGTATAGCCAATACATCCTTAAGAGGATCCCTGAACGATGTGCGAAATATTAAAAAGTGGTAGCTTGTACGTTATACAAATGCAATTGCATAATCAGTAATGAAAGCGAACTACGATCAGCGTTTATATCTTATCGCTTGCGTCCCGACAAATCCTGGGAGAAGTGTTTCATCGTTATCTCGATACGGTAGCGTTCGAAGGCGACGATTGAATAACGTGTGCTGGCTCGTGGCTGGAATCGAATAAAAATCAGCGGAGTTTCGTGTATAACAATTTGAGGAATTAGCGGAGATGATTTGGCGCAAATTAAGCGGGCATAAAACGCGACAATTAAGCGGGGCCCGGCGACGGACGGGGTCCGACGATTTAAAAAAGGCACGCGAAACTCCCTCAGTTTCGGAACTCGTTTTGACGACGGGTTTTGTTTTGTTTCGTTTCGCAGGAGCGAACGGAATGCGCAGGCGAGGCCGACAGACCTACACGCGCTACCAGACGCTCGAACTCGAGAAGGAATTCCACACGAACCACTACCTCACCAGGCGGAGGCGGATCGAGATGGCACACACGCTTTGCCTGACGGAACGGCAGATCAAGATCTGGTTCCAGAATCGGCGGATGAAGCTGAAGAAGGAGATACAGGCGATCAAGGAGCTGAACGAGCAGGAGAAGCAGGCACAGGCCCAGAAGGCGGCGGCCGCAGCGGCCGCGGCTGCGCACCAGCAGCAGGCCCAAGGTGGGGGACCAGAGGGGGCCAACTAGGGGTACGCCCTGCACCGGAGCCCCCCTGACCACCCCACCGCCAATCCACACCACCCTCTGCTACCACCGCAATGTACACAGCTATATTAAAGGTGAGTGACTTCTTCGATACCGAACTCGTGAACGTCACTTTTTTTTTATTCATTCCCTTTTGCTTTTGCTCTGGCCCTCCGTTTTATTCCTACGCGGTTTCTCTTTCGTTCCTTCGCGCGTCTCATGTTTCTATCTCCTTGAACGACCAATTTCCTGCGCACTGGAATTAGGTGAGAAACGTGCCACGTTTTAGGAAGAATAGGTTTGAGCAAATACGAAGGCTAAGCTTTAAATGATCTCGTAGAGATTTTAACTCAAAGTCAACTTTTTACGGTTGTACTAGGAAAAAGGCCCAGGGAAGCCATCCCTCGGAAAACAAATTGCCTGCAATCATAGAAAACAGAGTTCTTGCTGAGACCCCAAGGTCTGACAAATCTTAACCCTTTCGCGAGGGGTGGAACGGCCGATGGTAATGGATTTGCAGGCAGCGGCGTTGAACAACGGGTTCCTCGAGTCTGCATTAAGCTTGATATATTCATCGGCGAAAGTTACGAGATCCCGAAGAAAACGTCGGCTAAAGAACGTTACAAATGGGGCGGGGGCGGGTGGTAGCGAAGGTGGCGCGGATGGCTTTTAGCCGGTTTGCCCGGCCTTTAAAATTAAGTTTAGCCGGTACACTTAATGAGGATAAACCACCTGCGAGCGTGCCTTCATAATTTCCTAAGTTATTCTGTTTGCGTGCACTTAACTCTCGCGGGCCTCTGCATCTCAAGGGATCGTTGTTGCCGCGGCAACCGAGACCGCGTTTTGAAATGTTGCTCCATCGTGATTTTCATATTTTTCTACACGCATCCCACGGACTCTAACGAACCGCGTGCAATCTTCTCGATTCCCTGCAGTTTTTGCGCTCGCGCCTCGTCGTTAGTAGAAACTGTTTAGATTAAAAGATTCGCAGCGTAGAATGTACAAAATTTCTCTAACCCCCGAGTTACGAACTTTTCGTTTTTGGCGTATGCGATAGAGAAAACAGAGAAAAAAGTGAAATCGTCTCGAGGGGGTGCGAGGGTCGAAAAATGAAAGTAGAAAGTTTCTGGGCCAGGTAGAGGAGAACGAGATAAAAAAGGACATCCGCTAAAGACGATGCCAATTTCTCTGTCGTTGCACACTATCTGCCTCGGGGATCCTTCGGTATAATTTGTACTTTGGCCCAGGGGGCGACCGTTCGTTCTCAGAAAACGAACGACCCTTCGAATTGCTCGAGCGAAGCCAATATCGGTTGTAAAAAAAGGTCCTCGCTTTTTCTGCGCTTTCATGAAAGTCTCCGCTGCTGCTGCTGATGCTACACCGGTCGGCTTTGCCCAGCTTTTATGACTCTTTCCATGTTTGGCGGGGGGGAAAAAAAGATTCCCGGGAAATGTTCTTTGTACCGACGTGCCGCTTTCGTTTTGACTCGTTATTACGTTCTTTCCCTTTCTTCCGCTCGCTTTTTCTTACTCGTCGATCTGGATTTCCTTCGTTGTTGTTGGTCGAATAATTAATTGTTCGCCGGCTGTAATCAAATCATTGTTCCACCGTGCTGTTCTCTCGCAAAGATTTCCATTGCAAAAGATAATAGATTAAAGGGGTAGTTTCCAAAATTCGTTAGTCCAAAGCTTTAGAATCAACCATATCGGAATATGTTTCGTGCTAACCCAGTGTCAGTGTGTTCAATTTCTTACTTAAATCTCGCAAGTTGATCGAACGACGCGATATTCTGTTGCACGGAATATCAGACTCAGAAAAACAGTTTCATTACTTCTTTGATATACTTAATCGGGTAGCTCAGTTGTAACGAACAATTTTCCAGCAAGTTCGTATAGAATCTCATTATCAGCGCAGCGGTACGGATAGGAGGAGCGCGAGAGGAATTAGCGCGATAATTTGAGGCCGAGTTGCAAATCATATCTTTCTCGCCGGATTTCCAGATAAACGGAAAACTTTATAAAGTTCCTTTTGTCGGTATCTCGGTAGCGGCCGTAGGGATTCGCCAATTAACTCCACGAACGGGCGTCGTAATTGTGGGGCTGGTGGCCGAGGCGCGCCGATTCGACGATACTGACCCCCGCCGCGCCGCGCTGTGTGTGATGTTTAATCGATGGACTCGTTCCATCCTCTGGTTGTCGTTGCCCTCGCCCGTCCGCCAACAAATTTTCGACTCCACTCTCCGAGGTGTCGTTAATCGGCCTTAAAATAGGATTTTAGCCTTGCAAATGCCGCGCCATGCATCATGCATGCGAGTCTTGTCACGCGTCAAAGTCTCCGGAAGATCCATGCAACGATTTGAACAAAAAAAGACTTATCGTCGCTAAAAAAAATTCTGCAACATTTCTCGTGCGAATACATTATCGATCTGTATCACTGACTCCGTCAAAGACTCGCTCGGACTTCTTCCCACTCCAATGATTATTATCCAGCTTCTTTCTTTATCGTCAGCGTTCCTCATCGGCATAACCATGTGCCCGGGCACGTTTTTACGACGCGAAGTAGATCGTTAGTCGGTGCATGGAATACTGCCAGGAGCTATAACCGCGTTACGCTCGAACAGTATAGCGTGTAGAGGCGACGGGGCGGTGGATGGCAACGTCGTCGTATCGAAATCGATTAGCGCGACGATAAATTTCGATTTGAGTTATATTACCGTATTAATTACATATTTATGACGTTATTTATTGGGGAACGCGCGCACGGGACCGTGTTTCTGTAGCATTGTTTCGCGCGCTCATTAAATCGCGCGCATCGATAGCGGAAAGAGAGAGACGACGAGAGGAAGAAAGAGAGAGGGGACGAAGCTCCGCTCCGTATTAAATTGCGCGGCCGCGCCACGCTCACCGATAATATAATGAGATATACATATTTCAGGGCCGTTTTTTCCTCTCGCTTGTCGTCGAATTTGCGTGAAATTTACATTTCATTGTCGGCGCCGGCCCTCGAGGCCGCCCGTTTTTGTCCGCTCCCGCGACCAACGCTCGTTCCACCCGGAGAGACCAAGGAGAGCCCAATTAAGAAGAGAAGAGAGAACCCGCTCTCCCGGTATCGTGCGCGAGCACTGTACGTAGTCACGGCCAAAGAATTTGATGGACCGCTGCCGGCGTGCTTCCATACGTCACCTCTCTCTCTCTGTCTCTCGACGCCTAAATAAAGAACGCGGGACACACCGAGGAGATGGAGACAGAGAATCCGTCTCTCGCTCCCGGTCCCGAATCCGAGTGGCCGGTGCCGCGGCGCAGATATACGCGAAGATAAATTTTGACAGTGAACAAGAAAAAGCAATTTAGAGGAATTCCGGCGATCTACTTTTATAGGAAAGTTTGCCCCGTATAGGCGATAAATCGCGCCTCCGGAGAGCCGAGTCTAAAAGCTAGAAATATTTAAAGGCGTCCCGGTCCCCGAAATCTTGTTCCTCGCACGAGGATCTGTCGGCTCTGATTCGATAGGAGGAACCCAATTCTGGTGAGCGAACTTGGTCATACCGCGAATAAGTTACCCCGTTGATAGGCGATAGTATTCGGTATTCTTGATATTTATCTAAGATATGAATCGTGCGCGTACGGTCGTCTCATAGAAAGTTGTCAGGGTGTACTTAACGAGCGTGGCAACCGCGAGATAGTCAGTATGGTATCAACGGGTTTGCACGAACTGCTATTTGGTCTATGGTATTGCGATGCCATCTAGTGGCTTTAACGACATCGGGCTTAATTATGGCCGACTTTCACCCCCGTACCGAGGGCGTGGTTAAGGCGGGGACGCGCGGCGACGAGTATTTCGTCGCATTGGCTCGTCGTTCTAGCTTCGTTCGTCGTAATAAATCTTCGTATTAAGAAAATATAGGTATTCTTCTTTTTTCCTTTCGCGTACCGATGCGATCAAATGCGGTAGCGAGTGCTAAAAAAAATTCTGCAACATTTCTCGTGCGAATACATTATCGATCTGTATCACTGACTCCGTCAAAGACTCGCTCGGACTTCTTCCCACTCCAATGATTATTATCCAGCTTCTTTCTTTATCGTCAGCGTTCCTCATCGGCATAACCATGTGCCCGGGCACGTTTTTACGACGCGAAGTAGATCGTTAGTCGGTGCATGGAATACTGCCAGGAGCTATAACCGCGTTACGCTCGAACAGTATAGCGTGTAGAGGCGACGGGGCGGTGGATGGCAACGTCGTCGTATCGAAATCGATTAGCGCGACGATAAATTTCGATTTGAGTTATATTACCGTATTAATTACATATTTATGACGTTATTTATTGGGGAACGCGCGCACGGGACCGTGTTTCTGTAGCATTGTTTCGCGCGCTCATTAAATCGCGCGCATCGATAGCGGAAAGAGAGAGACGACGAGAGGAAGAAAGAGAGAGGGGACGAAGCTCCGCTCCGTATTAAATTGCGCGGCCGCGCCACGCTCACCGATAATATAATGAGATATACATATTTCAGGGCCGTTTTTTCCTCTCGCTTGTCGTCGAATTTGCGTGAAATTTACATTTCATTGTCGGCGCCGGCCCTCGAGGCCGCCCGTTTTTGTCCGCTCCCGCGACCAACGCTCGTTCCACCCGGAGAGACCAAGGAGAGCCCAATTAAGAAGAGAAGAGAGAACCCGCTCTCCCGGTATCGTGCGCGAGCACTGTACGTAGTCACGGCCAAAGAATTTGATGGACCGCTGCCGGCGTGCTTCCATACGTCACCTCTCTCTCTCTGTCTCTCGACGCCTAAATAAAGAACGCGGGACACACCGAGGAGATGGAGACAGAGAATCCGTCTCTCGCTCCCGGTCCCGAATCCGAGTGGCCGGTGCCGCGGCGCAGATATACGCGAAGATAAATTTTGACAGTGAACAAGAAAAAGCAATTTAGAGGAATTCCGGCGATCTACTTTTATAGGAAAGTTTGCCCCGTATAGGCGATAAATCGCGCCTCCGGAGAGCCGAGT